GGCACATTTGTACCAGCTCCGTCTCCCATTTGCTCCCGCTGCACGGGTACCACTGGCATCCACGCATTCAGCCTTCCAGACACTGCTTGTGACCCTGTCTGGGACAAGGTGAAGGCCAGCTAAATAAACTGCTTCCTTGGGTTCGCGCAGCCAACCCAGGGGGCAGCCGCTATTACTCCCACCTGACAGACACGGGGGCCGTGACCGCGACCAGGGAAGTGTCTGTGATGACTGAGCAGGGACCGGAACTCAAGACGGAGCACTTCCCTCTTTTCACACAGTGCTGTGACTCAGCACCTCCCAGCCTCTAGGGTACCCCTGCTGCCCACCCCTTTCACCTTTGCTTAGGCCTCCCGCTGACCCAGCCCCTGCAAATGCCCCACAGCAGAGCTCTGGGTGGCGCGGACGCCTGCAGCCTGGAGGTGCAGAAACCCACTTCAGCCTCAAGCTCTCCCCTGTATTTGAGTTTGCTCCAAAGGCAGGGGGTGGGGAGGCATGGCCTGGGAAGAACTGGAGCCCTCAGCCCCTGGAGATGTGAGACCCTGTCCTGCTCTGTTCGCGCTGGATGTGGGGCCCTGGGCAGCCCCTGGTCCCCTCCGGGCCCCAGTGTCCTTTTCTGTCCTCTGAAGGGACAAGTCACCTCTCAGGGCTTTTCTAGCCCAGACGCTGTCTGGATTCTATGATCCCATGGCCCCCATCTTGCCCCTGAGCCTGACTTGGAAGCAGGATGGTGGAGAAACAGGCAGACTCTAGGGGCTCCCCCGGCAAGTAGAAACGTGATTCAGGGTGGACATTTGGGCAGAATAAGGGGTGTGGCTGTGTCTCCTCCCTGCCTCCCTCCCCTGGAGTTGGTTGGTGTCCAGAGCCTCTGAAAAACCCAGCCCAGCCTTCTGCCCAAGCAGGGGCTCTGGCAGGCTGCCTCTGGCCTCACATATGGCGCATCAGACGGACTCCCAACCCCAGCAGCGTCCCCTCTCCACTTCATGCAGGCAGCCAAGACCCCAGCCGGGACAAACCCAGGGCTTAGAGCCAGTGATGCTGGGGTGGTCAGGCCACAGCCCCGATTTCCAGCCATATCAAGTTCAAGTCTTGCCTGACTTTCAGAAACTGCGGCTCACGTCTTCATTCAGCCCTTGTTGAGACAGGTCTGGTCTCAGTACCCCATCGAGCTCCTTTGCTCTCCCTTGGCCATGCATATTTCACCTTCACTCAAGCAGTGCCGACTGGGCTGCCCCGCCTCCCTCTGGCACAGTCTCCCCAGGACCCCACAAATCGCCCCTCTTCCCTGCGCTCCTCCAGCACCTCGGCCCCATACCACCCCTCCCAGCACCTGCTCCAGGATGCAGGCTTCAATGTTTCATGGGCATCTTGTTCCCCGAGCTACTGGCCCCGCTGGGCAGCCGGGTCCCCGAGGGTGTGAGAACACGTGGCTTCGCCCGGCTCCTGCCTGTGGCACTTTGGCCCGTCCTCTCGGCCTCTGCCTCCTCATCGGTGACACAGGGACTCAAAGGCACCTGCGTCTCTGGGGTTTGGCCAGGCTTTGCGATCTCCCAGAGGCGGGTGAGCACATTTGTTACCCGCCACGCCCCCCCCCCTCCCCGTCTCTAGCCTCACGTGTCTCGGCGGCCTCCCCCAGGCCAGGCACAGCACTCCATAAACCAGGGTTCGTGAATCTATAAAGTCTTGACAGGGCTGAGGGAGAAAATGCGCCCTGAGCCCCAATCATAGGGCTGGGGAGCACACCCTGGGGTTTCAGGACAAAGTGAAAGCACTCCAACATTGCACAAAATGACAGAAGTCCAGAATGAACTGTCCTGAGAGGCGAAGAACAGAAATTGCTTCAAAAGAGGTTTAGATAGGCAGGGATGGGTTCCTAGGGAGTTACTGGGGCCCACATCTCCATCTGTGAAATGTTAGCGGAGACACATCACCCTTCTGTCCTAGAGCCCTGTGGAGGGGGGTGTGGGAGTCAGAGGCCGGAAGAACTTGCTGCCCAAGAGCAGAGACACTTAGGTCCCCACCAATGTCACTAGCCCTGGGTACTGAGACCCTGGCTGGGCAGCCACCCCCAGGCCCCTCTCCTGAATCCCAGAGCTGGAGGGAAAAGGGAGGGCTTCTCAACTCTGGTGGTGCCCAGAGAGGTCTCATTGTCCCTTTCTAAGGTCCTGAATGGGGGCTTGTCTATCTGGTCCCCAGCAGAGTCACACAGGTCCCTGGCAGGGGAGGAGCAGTCAGTCTGGAGGGATGAGGAGGCTCACCTTCCCTGGGTCTGGAGGCCCCACCCCAGCTGCTGAAAGGTAGGAGAGGAGAATCTGGCAGGGGGCACCTCCTGAGCCAGGAGCATGCAAACGAGGCAGGGGAAGGAGCCCAGCATTAAATGTCAGGAAGAGCCCAGGGCAACTCGTCTTGTGCAAAGTTTGCTTTGGGAAGAGTTGTTCTACCTGACAGGCTGCTCCCTTGGCTAGGGGAGCAGGGCGGGGTGAAGAATGGGATGGGGGCGGGGAGGGGGCAAGGGGAGGGTCCCAGACCAGGATGGAGCCTCACCTCCCGGCTCTCTAGCTCTGGGACTGGGATAAGTGACTTGGCTTCCTCGGAGATTCAGTGATCCTGTCTGTTAAATGGGCTGTCAAGAGCATGCCTTAAGGCTTATGAAGATTGAGGGAAGGTGGATGGAAATTTCTTGCGAATTGAGATGGGTGGAACATTCAGGAAGGTGGCACCAAACTGAGATGGGTGGAACATTCAGAAAGGTGGCACCGGGGAGCAGGTGAGGGGACGGGGCTGGAGAAGGGGGAGGGAAAGGTGATGGGGTGAGGAATGAGGGGAACAGAGGAAGAAGCAGGTGGTGATGGTGGGTGGAGGCTGGGGAAGAGTTGAGGTTGGTGGCGAGGGAGGCCTGGGCCTTACCTGAGGTCATCCTGCTCTCTAGTCCAGCCCGGGGCAGCTGCTGGCCTCACTCACCCCTCCCTGGCCTCTAGGAGGAGCCAGAGGTAGAGCCACCCACCTCTGCTGACCCGAGCCTGGGGCACAAGCCTGGGAAAGCACACATCTTAGAAAGCTGGCACATCCAGCCAGTCTGCCTCCACCAACTCCTATACAGCCTGCAAAATCCAGCTCCAGATTGTCCCTTCCACGAAGCCTCCTTTAACAGAGGAGGCCACCTTGTCTAACCTTCTCATTACACAGACAAGGAGCTACAAGGGCAGGGAGGAAAAGTGACTTGCCCGAGGTCACACAGGGGGCCTGAACCCACCCTTTCCTGCCCTCCACCCAAAGCGTCTTTGTCCCCAGGTCAGTCTGAACTGACGTCCCCAGGTTGCACTCAAGCCGCACCAAGCTGTTTAAGCACAAAATGGGGCCCTGATTGTTTCAAGGGTATTAACTTTGTATCTGCAATGACCTCAGTGGTAGAAAGTGGGTTCTCCTCTTTTTTCTACTTATTTCTGATCAACGGAACACCTGCTGAGTGTCCCCCCTCTTCCCTCAGGCTTGGTGGACAGAGAAGCTCCATGCAATTCAGAGGGTCCTTGGGAAAATCAAATGGTGTCGCATTTTACCGTGGGTGTTTTATAATTGCTAACCCACAAGAATCGAGTCCAGTAGAGACAGAGTTTTCGGCTCTAGGTGTCCTCATAGTGCCTTTTTCACTTCTCAAAGGGGAGGGTGGCTCCCCACCCTCAGAGAGCATCTCCTCCGCACCTCAACCTCCCCAAGAGCCCTGAGGATGCTCCCTCTCCCCAAATTTCTGTGAGTTTGGGGGGCGGGGTGAAACTTCAAGCTGGGAGTCTTTGGCTCTAGCCCCACCCCCAGCTGGGCTGGGTCGTGTCGGTGGGGGCCGGGGGGCGGGGTGCCCTGTGTGCTGGGGCGTCTCCTGCCCATCCCAACCGCCACCTCGCCACCTCGGGCCTGGGGAAGCCCGATGCCTGTTTGTTTTGTTACTCAGCTGAGCAGCTGGTGCTGGGGAGATGCGGCCTTACTGGGGGTTGCCGTGAAGCAGGAAATGAGGCCGAGTCCTAGACTTGACTAAGGAGAAGGAGAAAGGCCGTTACTGTCATATAGGGAAGGGGCCACTGGAGGCCTGTGGCCTGGGTATGGGCTGCTGGGTGGGTAAGGGGATCCGGGGCCGGCTCCATGGGACTGCCCACTCCCAACATGCACACACACGCACACGCACACGCACACGCACACACGCGCACACCTGGTCCAGCCTCCAGGGGAGTCCCCAGACATCCAGACCCTCTGGCTTTCTACCTTGTCCTCTCCACCAACACTTCCCTCTCTCCCCACAGCAGACATCTGGCAAATCTTAGACATGAGCGTCCCCAAGGACGTCCCTTTTTTCTCCTAGCGTGCCCAGACCGGGGCCCGCAGGCCCAGAACGCCCAGACCGGCGTTCTGCCTCCCTGGGTACTCGAGCCCTGTTAGTTCACTCCGCAGCTCCCCAGCCCACCTGGGTCCTGGCCCACCACCGCCCAAACCCCGGGCTCTGGGCCTGTCCCTCCTGCTCCGACCCAGAGCCCGGCCCTGAGCCTCCAGGCTTCGGCCAGCCCCTGCCCACCGCGGCCCGTCCCCAGGCAGACCCTTCTCTTGGCAGAGCAGCTGTGGCTGGCAGCGGCAGAAAGGTCGTCTGTGTTTCGCCAGCCAAGCAGAACTGGCCGTGTCTCGGGGACCGAGGCTCTGCACCTGCAAGGCTGCCTCCCTTCAGGCTGTACGGGCTGGGCTCCAGGTGGGCTCCAGACGGGGGCCATCCTGGGCCTCACCAGGCCAAGGGCTCACCCGGGCTCTGGGGTCAGCCCGGGGCAGGGGGCGCAGATGGGCAGCATAAGGAGGATCAGGGGATTCTGAGGGTGAAGGACCCAGATCACAGGCCAGCAATGCCTGGGAGATCAGTTCTGGACCCGGGGACCATGCCTCCAACTCCTGCCCTCTGTCACCCGCTCCGCACGGCTGGGAGGGGGAAGCCCCCATGGCGAAGCACTCTGCCTTCCCACCAGACTTACCCGTTGTCTGCCTGGTGCCCAGGGAGCCGTCCACCGTGGAGCCAACCTTGAGGGCCAGGAGAAGGCGTGGGCAGCACGGGCCACAGCTGGGTCTCAGCCAGGCATCGGTGGGGGGGGGGGGGGGCAGTGGGACCAGGGGCCAGAAGGACTGGGGGCAGAGGTGATACTCGGGTGGGCCGCTGGGGGCCTGGCCGCCCTCGAGGGGTGGCCCTCTGAGATCTCAGGGCTGTGTGCCCTGTAAGGGAGCCCTTCGCTCCCAGCCCCGGGGCCACCTGCCCGCACGGTGGCAAGACCTAGCCCGAGGGGCTTACATGGAGGCCGTGGTGGGCTGGGGTTCCAGATCTGCAGGGCAGTGTGGACACGGGCAGAGCGCAGGAATGTGCTGGGAGGAAGGCAAGCAGCCGTGAGATGAAGAGTTGGCCAGGCCTGATTTCCCATTATAAGTAATCCTTCCTTATTTACCTGAACAAATATGCTCCCTGCTTACCTCAGACCACAGGCGGACTCCTGGTTAACCCTTGCAGGCCTCCCTCTCCTTGATGGGGGATCCATATTCTGGCAGCTAGAAAACCTGCTCATTCATTCATTCGTTCACTCACTTATGCATTCACTTACTCACTCATGTTCATTAGTTGATGCGTAGCCACTGAGTTTATAGTATGTGTAAGATACAAGGAATACATCTAGAGCAATGTGGGACAGGACACTAAGAGGGAGCAGCCAAGATTGGGGAACAGACAAGCACGCTCAGTGGAAATTCAGAGCCACCCATGCCCCCAGTGGAGGGCCGTGGAAGCACCCAGCAAGGCAAGTCAGAGAGGGCTTCCTGGAGGAGGTGCTGTCTGGCTCTCCAGGCCGGGGATGGAAGGAACTTCAGAGAACCCCGTGGAAAAGGACCTGAGGCTTGTGGGCCCTCTCACCATATGTGGGACCCATGCTCTCTGTGCCCCACGGGGCCTGTGCAGGCCCATCATGCAGTGGTGTTCAGGGATGATCGGGAGCTCACTTTCCCAACCCAGAGTGGGGGCCGGCCAGCAGCAGCTTGCTCTCTGACAGTCCCTGTAGGATGGCGACGATGAGGTGCCCATGCCTGGCTCTTCCACCTGCATGATCCCAGGAGGACCGCAAGGTTGAGCTCAAAGGTCTCGTCCCATTATGCCAGATGGCTTGAAGGATGTCGCCGGAGGGCAGGGGGCTGGCGCTTCCTTTCTCTGGATCACCTTGGAAGGGCACCAAGCACAGCTACCCCCATTCTGTCAGATGAGGGCATTTTAGACAACGTTCATCGTTGTCTTCTAGTCTCAAGAGGGCCTGTGTGACTGCCCACAGTGAGAGTATTCTAGGGCTTCTAGGAAACCCCAGGGCCTGAACTCACCTTAACCGATGCCCAAATTCTCCAGCATAACATGGTTGGACTTTTCACCCCGGACAGCCCTGCACCTGGCTGTTATCACCCCTGGCACCTTGGTAAGGATGAGTTTCTACAGTGATTCGCCAGCAAAGTGGAAATTGGATGGGATGGAGGTCGGGGGAGAGAATACGAGGTCCTAAAATGGCCACAGTCGACCATCCCAGCCCCCAGGGGCGATACGTCCCGGCAGGTCCTCCTCTAGAAAGCCTTTCTGTAGCCCACGCCCCTGCCTGGCAGGCAGCCTTCCCCTCCAGTCTCACAGAATTCATGCTTATGTCAGCGCTCGGACACACCCAGAACAGCGGCCGCTGCTCAGTGAGCACCTGCTATGTGACAGGCACTGTTCCACACTCGCAAGGTAAGCTATTCCCCATATTATAAGCACTATAACAGGGTAAGTACAAGGAGCGCCCAACAAATGCTTATTCGGTGGATGGGGTGTCAGGGATAGTCACTACCCGCCCCCCCAACCCCCGCCCCCGAGTCTGCTCTCCCTCCTTAGTAAACAAGCCTCTAATTTTGGGCTGGGAACTTGGCTACCTGGAATTAAGACTATCCAGACTCTGTGACCAAGTGGAAGTGTTATGTGTCAATTTCTAAGAACATTTCTTTCTTTTTTTAAAAAATGGCAATTTCTTTTTTTTTGAAGGTTTATTTATTTATTTTGAGAGAGTGCATGAGCAGGGGAGGGGCAGAGAGAGGGGGAGAGAGAGAATCCCAAGCAGGCTCCGTGTTGTCAGCACAGAGCCTGATGCAGGGCATGATCCCACCAACTGTGAGGTGACAATCTGGGCTAAAATCAAGAGGCAGATGCTTAACTGACTGAGCCACCCGGGCGGCCCTAAAGATATTTCTTAAAGGTAAACTGGCATGTACCAATTGCCCCCTTCTTCTTTATGCTTCCTTCATCCTGCTTCCTGGAATGCAACTGTGATGGCTGGAATTCTGATTGCCATCTTGGACCATGAGGTCAAGATGCTGGATCAGTGAGCTGGAAGGAGCCAGGTCTCCGAGGACTGCACAAAAACTCCATACTGGCTCTGGACTGCCTGTCTCAGGAATTTGATGAGAGAAACAGACCTTCCGCTTTTGCTAAGTATTGTCTTTAATGCTCAAAGTCTGATCCTAGCTGAGGCAGACCAGAAGATAGGCAGATGGAGACAGAGCACTCTTGCAGCCAGAGTTTTTTATGTACACAAAAAACCTTGGCCTTGGGAATGTTGCCCTTTGAATGCTGGGAATCGCCTTGTCCTTGGTGCCGGGGAGCACTCCATAGATCTCTCCAGGGATGGGTGGGCGTGAATGGACGGACCGGGCTAAGCCGTGCTGAGTGTGGACAGCGGTTCTATCTGCCCAAGCCTAGAGTGGGTGCTTCTGGAAGCTGGGAAGCTCCAAGAGGGAGCAAGGCGAGGACTTGCCATCCGCTCAGCTGAGGCTCACATGGGCTGAGAGCTGTTTGGAGTGACATCAGTGGTGGGCTCAAGGCAGGTGTGGTACCCACCCAGGACACTCTGTTGCGTTCCAGGGGAAGGGAGGGCCGATTAGAAACTGTCCTTAACCCATGAAGGGACTCTGGGGGACACACCCCACTTCAGCACCTCGATCCACCCAGTGTAATGTTATGGCATTAGCTCAGGGTTTGACCCAAATACACAACCCAGTTCTGTCACCTTCCAGTTCCATGACTTCGGCCGAGTGTCTGAAGCCTGCTGAAAGTCCCCTCTCTCCATCCCCAGGGAACTCTCAGAGCTGCTGGGAGGAGGGAGGCAATGTTGGTGAAAGTGTTCGCAGAGCCCAGACACCCTGTCCCGATGCCTTGCTGGCCACCAACCACGTGCCACCTGTTTGACACGTGCCCTCTAACTCCCCACCGCAACCTCTCCAGGTAGATATTACTGTACCCATTTTGCAGGTGAAGAAATTGAGGCTGGAATGTTTAAAATGGTCTTGCCCAAGGTCATGGCTGGGAAGCAGATTCAAACTCAAATCTGGAGTTTCCTTGATTCCCCTGTGCCTGATAGGACCCTGTTACTACCCTTGTCCCCTCAGGGGAGGGGCAAGTCCCAGGTCTCCAGCATGGGTCACTGGGTCCGCTAGACCTCCTGCCCACAGTCCCCTCCCCGCCCCCGCCCAGGCTGGTCTCCTCAACCCTCCCCTGGCCAGCTCCCATCAGGTGAAATGTGCCCCCTCTTTCTCTTCCTCCATCTACACACTACCCATCTGTTGTGGGCATCCTCCAGACCTGGGGCTGGGCACATCACCTGCGTTGGCCTGATGTCACTTCACCCTGGGACTCTTCCCTGGCCCACTGAGGTAGCATGTTTTTTCTTGCCTGGGGTTTCTGAGCCCCAGCCCCAGGGAGAGTGGGCTGCACCAGCCCAGGAGAAGAGCCCAGTAACGTCCTTTGTCTGTTGTTCAAACGGATTTGAGTTGACTCTCTTCTACTTGGGATTACCCCCCATCCTTCAAGCTGCATCTCAAGAGCTGTGTCCTCCAGAAAGCTTTTTCGTGTCCCCTCCGGCCCTTACCGCCCCACCCCCCCCCCCCCCCCGCCATTTCCCAGTTCTTCGTGCTCTAATGTCTCCCAGTGGTCCTTTTCTCCCCAAGATGCAAATTCGTCTAGGGCAGGGGACCCTGGGGCTGGGGCAGCACGGGAGCCAGCACACAGGTTATGAGTTCTGGTGCTGCTGGCCTGACCCCCTCCCCAGGGCGCTCCTGCCCGCCGCTCACCCATCCAAGAGTGAGAGCGCCAGATGGGGATGGGGCCCATGTACTAGTGGAGTGACAGTGAGGCAGCTCAGGCCCCCTCTGGGCCTCCTTCAGCTCCTCTGTGGAGTGGACAAAATGCTTGCCCTGCTGACCTTGGGGGTAGGGCACTCTGATGAGTGAATGTCAACTGACAATGGCAGTTGGAGGTACTTTGGAAAGGGCAGGCGGTCTTGGTGTGTCAGTGGGTCCCATTGCAGCCTCCCTAGCTTTCTCTCTGTCCCCCGTTGCTCTGTTTCTCCATGCTCCCACCTGGGTCTTCCTAGGAGCTACAGCCTCAGGGTGATGGAAGGGACAGGGCTGGGCTTCGTGCCAGCCACAGAGAGATGGGGCTGCCCCACCCAGTGGACACAGGGCCCTGCTCTCTGTCCCAGGCTCCAGCTCTGAAAAGGTGGGAACGGCTCGGGGGACGCCCCGGCTGAGGTGTGAGGAGCCAGGGGCTGGTCACCCAGATGGGACCATAGGGGCAGGATGGGCGGGAAGCCGGGTCTGTGGGACCCCAGACACCATGCAGCCTTCATGGCACAGGAGACCCCGAGACCAGAGAGTCTCGGAGAGTGGGAACAGGCCCAAGGGCACACAACAGGGCTGGGATACGGATCCAGCCCCCAACGGGTGTTCCTGTGAGGCATGTGCTATCTCCTCTAATCTTTTTTTTTTTAATTTTAGACAAAGGATTTATAAATCAGTTTAGGAAGGTTTTTTTTTTTTTAATGTTTACTTATTTTTGAGAGAGAGAGAGAGAGAGAGAGAGAGAGAGAAGGAGCAGGGGAGGGGCAGAGAGAGATGGAGACACAGAATCGGAAGCAGGCTCCAGGCTCCGAGCCATCAGCCCAGAGCCCGACGCGGGGCTCGAACTCACGGACCGCGAGATCGTAACCTGAACTGAAGTCGGACGCTTAACCGACTGAGCCACCCAGGTGCCCCAATGTTTACTTATTTTTGAGAGAGAGAGAGAGAGAGAAAAGGAGCAGAGAAAGGGCAGAGAGAGAGAGAGAGAGAGAGAGAGAGAGAATCCCAAGCAGGCTCCACACTGTCAGTGCAGAGCCCGATGTGGGACTCGAACTCACGAATCGTGAGATCATGACCTGAGCTGAAATCAGGAGTCAGACGCTTCACCGGCTGAGCCACCCAGGCACCCCGTCCTCTAATCGTCATGAGTCCAGCACCTGTGGGGTTCACAGATGAAGAACAGAACCTTCTTGAACTTCCCCAAAGTCGAGGCTAGGAAGTGGCTGAGGCA